TATACGAGATGTGTATTTATTTCAATCATGAAAAAACAGATTGATCTAACATCATCGCTCTAAGCATCTAGACAGATAGATATATCTATATTATCAAAATTTTATGTATTTCTATCAGATGAGAAACAGATTGAATTTACCCAATTATAATGGCCATCTTACTTGGTTTCTATTTAACCTTATCTGCATCTTTATAGGCAGCTAGAGTGATCCCAACTTTCAGAAGCCTCTATATTTCTCTAATAGACTTAAATTACCCTATTCTCTTGGCAATTGCATTCTGTTGCTCTTTTTAAAATCCCTTTAAATAAATAGACTTATCTTTACTACGAGAAGCTCATGTATTTCTATCAGAAGAGAATCAGAATAACATTACTCAAATCCTATGGTCATTTAAATTTTCTTTTTATTATACTGTTTTAACAATCCTTATAGACAATTAGACTCATATCTACTATCGGAAGCTATTATATTTCTATTAGAAGACCAACATTACCCAATTCTTATGACTATCTTACTTGGTTTTCCATCAAGTAATTCTAAACATCCTTGAAAGACTTCCTATAAGTTTAAAACCCTTACATATGTCCTCTATTGATCTTCTAAGACATCAAGATCAGTCTCCTTGTGAACTCTAAAATTCAAAGCTCATAAAATAGGTCTAATTTTAGAAACCTTACTATTCATATTTATTCCTATTAATTAGAAAAGATCTACTCCTTTTTCCTTTAACTCTTTTAATCATTATTTCACTTATCCTAGTTCTAAAATCACTCATTTAATATATTTTAAGTAGTGGACAAGATTTTGTTCAGGCATATACTCATCTGAAAATTGTTAACTCAAATCTTTTTTTATACTTAAATAGAGATATTAAACAAGAAGGATGAGTCAATCAATCATAGAACTCAATTTATGTATAAATTAAATATATTTCATATAAAAATAAGATATTCTATATTCTTCAAGATCTAGCTATGAAAATGTTAGAATGAATTTTAAATGTAATATTCTACCTCTTTTCTTATCAATTTCCAATTTACACAATGTCTGAACTTCAAATTTACTTAAATGCTTAAGATATGATTATCGATTTTTTGATTATTTAACCTAAAATTAGAGTCTTAAAATCTCAATATTAAAAATAATAAAAGAAAATGAAGAGCTCTTAATAATAGAAGGGCGCTCTAACTGACATCTTTGATCAAGTAAAAGATGTAGATATACAAATTTTTAGTGTCATACTAGAAATATTAAGAAAGCAGAAGGGGAAAGATTGCATTGGATTTTTATCAGATATTGGGAATTATAAAGAATTAAAATTATAAATTTTATAATAAGTTGGGAATATCATTCAACCTCATGCTGAATACAAATTGTGTCTTGTAAGAAATGACATGAAAAAACTAACAGATGTCTTAATAAAAATTAAAGATCATGACTTCAACAACTAAGACTTTTCCTCTGAAGAAAATGATGAATCTACAATATTTCTAATTAATAGCATCAAAGATAATAGAAGGATCATTAAATTTTTGTAATTTTTAGTTCACCTTACATCTATAGATAACACTTTAATATAATGTGGATCTAATTCATTACATATATTAGTTTAGATGAAGATAGATATCAGAAACCAATCATTTTAGAATATCAGAATAAAGAATACTTCTTTGATTGGTGGTAACTTTGTTAGATGCAACTTGAGTGGATCTGAGTTTGATAATGTAGATATAAGCGGATTGAATTTGAATGGTGCTTAACTATTCAATTGTAAATGGAAAAACATAAAGGTCCATGAATTGAATAAACTGGAAGGCCATAGTAGTTGTGTGTAATCAGTCTGTATTTCTCCTGATGGAAATACATTAGCTTCTGGTAGTGAAGATAAGTCTATCCGTCTATGGGATGTCAAAACAGGATAATAAAAAGCAAAATTAGATGGTCATAGTGATGAAGTTAGTTCAGTCTGTTTCTCTCCTGATGGAAATACATTAGCTTCTGGTAGTGATGATTAGTCTATCCGTCTATGGGATGTAAAATCAAGAAAAATGAAAGCCAAATTAGATGGTCATGATGATGCTGTAATATCAGTCTGTTTCTCTCCTGATGGAAATACATTAGCTTCTGGTAGTTTGGATTACTCTATCCGTCTATGGGATGTCAAAACAGGATAATAAAAAGCCAAATTAGATGGTCATCGTGATTATGTCTACTCAGTCTGTTTCTCTCCTGATGGAAATACATTAGCTTCTGGTAGTTTGGATTACTCTATCCGTCTATGGGATGTCAAAACAGGATAATAAAAACTCAAATTAGATCGTCATACTAGTTATGTTTGGTCAGTCTGTTTCTCTCCTGATGGAAATACATTAGCTTCTGGTAGTGATGATAAGTCTATTCGTCTATGGGATGTCAAAACAGGATAATAAAAAGCCAAATTATATGGTCATAGTTATTGTATTAACTCAGTCTGTTTCTCTCCTGATGGAAATACATTAGCTTCTGGTAGTAATGATAAGTCTATCCGTCTATGGGATGTCAAAACAGGATAATAAAAAGCCAAATTAGATGGTCATACTAATTATGTTAGATCAGTCTGTTTTTCTCCTGATGGAAATACATTAGCTTCTGGTAGTGATGATAAGTCTATCCGTCTATGGGATGTCAAAACAGGATAATAAAAAGCCAAATTAGATGGTCATACTAATTGTATTAACTCAGTCTGTTTCTCTCCTGATGGAAATACATTAGCTTCTGGTAGTGATGATAAGTCTATCCGTCTATGGGATGTCAAAACAGGATAATAAAAAGCCAAATTAGATGGTCATACTAGTTGTATTAACTCAGTCTGTTTCTCTCCTGATGGAAATACATTAGCTTCTGGTAGTGATGATAAGTCTATCCGTCTATGGGATGTCAAAACAGGATAATAAAAAGCCAAATTAGATGGTCATACTAGTTGTATTAACTCAGTTTGTTTCTCTCCTGATGGAAATACATTAGCTTCTGGTAGTAATGATAAGTCTATCCGTCTATGGGATGTCAAAACAGGATAATAAAAAGCCAAATTAGATGGTCATACTAGTTGTATTAACTCAGTCTGTTTCTCTCCTGATGGAAATACATTAGCTTCTGGTAGTGATGATAAGTCTATCCGTCTATGGGATGTCAAAACAGGATAATAAAAAGCCAAATTAGATGGTCATACTAGTTGTATTAACTCAGTCTGTTTCTCTCCTGATGGAAATACATTAGCTTCTGGTAGTGATGATAAGTCTATCCGTCTATGGGATGTCAAAACAGGATAATAAAAAGCCAAATTAGATGGTCATACTAGTTGTATTAACTCAGTCTGTTTCTCTCCTGATGGAAATACATTAGCTTCTGGTAGTGATGATAAGTCTATCCGTCTATGGGATGTCAAAACAGGATAATAAAAAGCCAAATTAGATGGTCATACTAGTTGTATTAACTCAGTCTGTTTCTCTCCTGATGGAAATACATTAGCTTCTGGTAGTGATGATAAGTCTATCCGTCTATGGGATGTCAAAACAGGATAATAAAAAGCCAAATTAGATGGTCATACTAGTTGTATTAACTCAGTCTGTTTCTCTCCTGATGGAAATACATTAGCTTCTGGTAGTGATGATAAGTCTATCCGTCTATGGGATGTCAAAACAGGATAATAAAAAGCCAAATTAGATGGTCATACTAGTTGTATTAACTCAGTCTGTTTCTCTCCTGATGGAAATACATTAGCTTCTGGTAGTGATGATAAGTCTATCCGTCTATGGGATGTCAAAACAGGATAATAAAAAGCCAAATTAGATGGTCATACTAGTTGTATTAACTCAGTCTGTTTCTCTCCTGATGGAAATACATTAGCTTCTGGTAGTGATGATAAGTCTATCCGTCTATGGGATGTCAAAACAGGATAATAAAAAGCCAAATTAGATGGTCATACTAGTTGTATTAACTCAGTCTGTTTCTCTCCTGATGGAAATACATTAGCTTCTGGTAGTTATGATAACTCTATCCGTCTATGGGATGTCAAAACAGGATAATAAAAAGCCAAATTAGATGGTCATAGTAATACTGTCTACTCAGTTTGTTTCTCTCCTGATGGAAATACATTAGCTTCTGATAGTTATGATAAGTCTATCCGTCTATGGGATGTATAGACAGGATAAGAAATTAAATCCTCTGATTAAAACTACAAAGATATTCTTGCATAATTTAAGATTCCTCTCCAATAACATAGTCAAATTACCGAAGGTACTATTTATTCCCTATCATATTTTTAGCCTCCAATTACATCACTACACTACTTATATCCCAAAAAGCAATATTTCAAGCTAAAGGAGCTTTAATTCTGAAAGGAGAGTTTATAAATCAATCCGGTATTGATTTAAAGACATTGTTTAAACAAAAAGGAAGTATCATTTTAGAAGACCTCAAGTAAAAGTGATAATTATTATTCATAAAGAACATTAAAACAATTATTATTTAAATTCATTCTTTGTATTTTTTTAATTATATCTTGTTTTTTGCTCTACTCTTTATTTTGATTTCTCAAGAATCATAAAAGTTTTTCGAAAGTATTCCATTTTAAGGAAATGTACACTTCTATTATTTTAATAGTCAGTCTAGTGTAGGGTATATTTATTGAGATCTCCTTAAAAAAAACTGATATTAATTAACATTTATAGAGATTTAATGTTAAATGATACTAAGCAAAATGAAGAGATGAAAATAAAGATCAATTTTAATTACTTAATTGAAACCTAACTTAACAAAACTGCATGATTATTTCATAAGATTTTCTTATAATTTATTTAATTTATTACTAATTATAAACATAAGTCTTAATAGATAAAATTAATAATTTTGTAAAATTAATTTATAAATAGGAAAAGATATGACAAGAATAAAAAAAATAAAGTTAATCTTTTAAACTATATAACATCTATCCGTCTATGGGATGTAAAGACAGGATAAGAAATTAAATCCTCTGATAAAACCTACAAAGATATTATTGCTTATTTTCAAGCACCACTATTTTCAAATAATTCTCTACCTGGTATTTATGAAATTATTATCTTTTAGAATCCAACAATATTACAATCCTAAGAATATCTTAAACACAATTATTTTAAGCATAAGGGGCTTTGATCTTGAAAGGAGAATTTTTAAATTATGAAGGATATGATTTAAGATAATTATTCAAAACAAAAGGATGCTTCTTTTTAGAGGACTTTCAGTAAAAGTGAATATGATTATTCGTTAAGAAATTAAAATTATATTTTCATTCAAATTTTAATATTTTTTTAATTATGTCTTTATTAGATTCACTTTTTACCCTTCACTTCATTAGATATGAAAACTAATATTTTCGAAAGTTATATTACATTTCTGTCATATATACACATCATTTATTTATTTTATAATCTAGGGTCATTAAAGTGTAGGGATTATTTATTTAAATAAAATAATAATTATTATCAATTAATATTTATAGAGATCTAAATTTAAATTATGCTACATTAAATTATAATCTTAACAGAGAATAGTAAGCACATGAATAGATTAAAATAAAGTAACAAAACTGTATGCTTATTTAGTCTAAGATACTATGATAGGTTTACTTAATTTATTATTATTTATACTAGGGATTTTTAGTTTATAAATCATAAAGTAATATTTAATTATAGAGAGAATAAAAAAGATATGTTAAGAATTTAAACAATAAAGGTAATCTTAGAATAAATCTAAACCTCAAAAAAAAGTTAAAACAATTGGATTTAACAATACTTTTTTTTTATTTATTATTAGTTATTAAATGTATATTTGAATATAAAATAATGAAAAGATAATTAATCATCTAATGAGTATTATACCCCCAAAATTATTAATAACCATCTTCTTAAATACTGAATAATTTCAGCTCTATGTGAATTCTTAAAGACATTCAGAGGCATCTTTCAAAAAATCTTTTATAAATCATAAATAATTAAGCATTATAATCAATTAGATAATGTAATTCACTTTTACTTTCATGATTATGTTAACAAGAAAAAATATCCATGAATTTAGTAAACAGAATTCTTGATGAATTAACTATTCAATCAGTCTAATTTATACATTAAATAACAAATTATTCCAAATTTCTGAATATTGATAGATAAATTTATTATTTTACATATCCAGCTTTATAAATGCAAAATTCATTTTAATAAAGAGATTTTTTAATTATTCAACATAATCATAGATATCTATAATAATCTCTTTTACAGAAATTACTCCAATATGTTTTATGAATAATTCTTAGCAAACTTATTTTTGATTATCATGCATTTTTATAATTATTACCAAATATGAATTCATCATATTAAAACTATAAAATTCTTGATGAAGGTTAATTCTAACATATTTCCTTTAAACTTAGATTAATTAATTAATCAATTTTACCTCTAGCTTTTCAAAGCATTCAGTTCATATCTACTGAATGAATGAAAAAAAAGAATTAAGATTATATTTGATTGTTATTGTTATGCATATGAAATCTTAAGTAGAACAACATTTCAAACCTAAAAAGAAAAAAAATATCAAAATTCCTATCAATTTATGTTTATATTAATTTTTTTTATGAATGCACTTCTGCTACAATAGCTCAATCCATGGCCAATCTTCATCATAAAGGTAAAAAAAAATATAAATCATTAACTCATTCATACTATCCTATCTATTGAAACATATTGAATTTTGAGATTATGAAAACTTTATAATTAAAAATTGAACAATTCAATTTAATATTTTCGAGAAATGAAACAACAATCTAAAAGAAAATTGAGTAACTGAAACTAGATATAGAAAAAGAGAGAGATAGAATATTTATAAGGCGCTAGGTAATCTATCTATACAATTCTATCATAAATATCAAACACCTAGAAAAAATAACTTAGAGATGAGATAATGGAAATTATGTTATCTCTTAACAATGAAAGTTAAGTAAAACACCTCAAAGATTTAAAAATTTGGGTTAAAATGCAAAGCAAATATTCATTTTATTGCTTACTATTATTATAGTTAAACCTAAATTATTTGATTACTATTTAAGAAACTCCATCTACCATATTTTGATAAATAAGAATATCAAATTTACAAACAGTAAAATTATTACTAATGACTTCATTATGATATATACTATTCTACAAAACTTCTTAAATTACTTTTTCATATACTGATTTTAAAAGGTAAATTTCACTATGAGTTGTTGAAAAAATAATGTTTGCCCATTTAGATTTTAGATATACAAATATTGGATTTAAGTCATCTTACCAGTAAAAATGGTTTAAAAATCTCTATTTAAAAATTGAAGATTATTAATCCAAAAGTTCT